GAGCACTAGTTTTTTTAAATCTCAATCGAAGGCTGGAAATCTAAATGTATAAAAATGGCTTGAGAAGCAATTCGAGGACCCAATAATTCTACACGCAATAATTCTGCTATAACACCAGTGATAGGAACATTTGATTACAACTCACGTTCTGAAATCCAGAAAAACCCTTATTCTAGCTAGCAAAACTAAAAGTTTAACAGCAATGACAAAATCAAAAAACTGCAGATGATATCAGAGGTGATCGGCGCCTTCTTGGTCAATTAGTTTAAACCAGTGGCCACAACGGCAACGCTGCGGTTCACCTTCATGCAAAACGAATAACACAGGGAAGGTTGTATCTGGTTCACCTGAAATGGTACGTTATGATACCATTTGCAATACATATGACATTAAATTTTAAACTGAGTAGATTTTGCATTTTTGAGGCACTGTAACAGATCTCGGCTTGTTATCAACCACGAAAAAAACTCGAATTATGTGATAAAGGCTATGATATGAAGTTGAGTTTTAATGAGATTTTAAATTTTAATGAAAAATAAAATATGAACTTACAGAAACATGCTAAAAGACGATAATCGTAATCCGATGGAATCAAATTCGGCTTTTCTGGTGAAGAATCTTCCAGTTTGTAATATACCTTTGTTTCATAGCGCTAAAAATTGAAAATATTTAACAAACAGAGCACAGTGAATAAAAATTAAAAACAGGCGTTTATAAAATGCGGATACCATTTAATTTTAAATCCATCTACAAAAGCTCATTTTGAGCTTTTAGCAAATGATAATTATTTTATGGATCCGACTAAAAGCTCCATGACAAACGACTCACATCATCACCAGCAAGAGTCGCAACGAGCTGTCTTCTAGCCATTGATTCCTCATGTCCTTCCAGAGGATCCGTGTCTGTTAACAAAATTCATATGGTAAACGCCATGAATTATTTGAATCAATAACATTTTGAATCAAATTTTAGGAATTCTTTAAAAATTGTAGAAAACCCAAACTTTTTTATCTAAAAAAGTAAGATATTTTAGTTAGCAATAATGTTTATAAAAGACTAGAAATCATTACCTGCCACGAAACATAACATTTTATAAGTAAAAACTTACAATAACCATAATCTTCAGGTGATGCAACCTTTGCGTAAGGACGCTTAATGCACATTGTCACTGCACGTACTGCTGTTGAGGTATTGCATGCAAAGGCGGTAAATAGCTTGCGAGCATATATTTGAGCCATTTCCTATATCTTAGAAATGATTGCTGAAAATGTTGACGTGATGTGTAACTGAGAGACACGCGAATAAAGTCAGAGTATTAGATGAATTAATCCTATCAACACGTAAAACTAAGTCATATTTCACAAACAAATCGGACTCTTTTCTTTCTTACTTTGCAAATGCTTAAATAAAAAACTATTTGCATTTCGAGCATAAGCAAAAATAATTTGCTAAATAATTTCTGAAGATTTCACCCCTGCTGTCACAAACCTCTTAATTGAGCACACTGTTTTCATCATTTTTTTCTTTTGACAATCTTTCTGATGTTTGCAAGTCCTTTTCCCTCTGCTTTCTTCGCTTTAGCACGTTCTCTAGTTATATACATTTGAACGAAATATCATTTTGCGAAATGACATAACTTCTCAGACTCATTTGGCGTAGTGCCAATATTGATAAATTGCTGACCTTGAAAAGAATTCTATTATGTGAAAAGTAAAGTCAAATTGTAAGTTAGGTTACATTACAGTAACTGATATAACTGTTTTATTCATTGTGTTGCAGTTTTCCAGTCGGTGTCAAGTTTTAGTCATTCACAGCAATCTTTAGTTTGGTAGTAAGTTTTTCGGCGATGTTTCCAGAATGCTTCTAGAATGATATTTTTTCTAATGTATTTCATTAGTTATTTGGCTTCGATTCAACGATTAGTAGTAAAATTTGAGTCATATTTGAGGTCTGATTCATATTGCAGGTAGAAAATGTTTGACGAATTTCTGGATGAACTAAGAAATCCTGTTATGCTTGTTTATATGTCAATGCTCTTAACGTGGTGTGTAACGAGTAGCACACAGTTGGGGGACTCAGTTGAATTAGAATTCAAAGCTTATCGTCTGCAGCAATACGATATCTCCGGCAACCCACATGGTAGTCGCTCTTGGAGGGGTAAGACTGTTTTCATTTGTTTTTCTGAATTTTATGAGAAAGACCAATCTGGCAAATTAGCTTAAAGTTAAAAAATTCATCTAGTGAAAAGTTTTTTTGTCAGACTTTTGTGCAGTCATTACTTAATTAAATTTTAGCCATCAAAAAGAATTTTATGTTTAAAAATTATAATATTTGATTCTGTGTTTTACAAAAGTCTTCAGTTATGTATGAAGCAGTATCATTAGATGGGAATATTCTAAGACGTTGTTTGATTGTAAATTGGCACGATTTATTGGGTCGCGATGTACAAAGTTTGTTGAATCAAGTTCTTGGTGCTGTATTAATTGTAGTACCAGATAACCTGGATACATTAACACCCTCAGCAAGATCCGTCAGTTGATATTTTGTGCTAATTTTAAAGAGTTTTTCATAACCATACATGATATTTTTTACGTTTAAGTCACCTTCTCTGCCATTCATTGATCGAAGCATTTAAAAATTAGATTTTTTTTTAACCGTATTGGATTTTTGCAGCCTTTTTGAACTTTCACTTTCTGCCCATTATTATACTTTCATTGACCACTTACTGTGTCGCTGAAAAACATTTGTATTCATTATTAAGTCTTGTTAGGTGTTTTGTTATTTTTAAGTGATATAGTTTTATAGGTTTATGAATTTCAGAAGTTGGCTTCGTTAGAGACAAATTTGATGTTTTTGAAAACTGATGCTGCAGTATATGTTGTACAACAAGAACCAAGGTTGCAAAGTATTTTTGCGGAAGTTACAGCATTTTCAAAAAGGTAAAAGTTTATCGTAAGTGGTTATTTGCAGTTAAATATTCATGGTTTTCTTCATTTAATGGATTTTAAGATCTCCAACTGCTGTACAACAACTGGTGAATGCAATTAGTGCGAATATCTTCCAGTTTTCATCATTGGCATCTATTTCCAGTAATATTATTACACCGAAATTAACTAATGTTGTGGTAGGGTTTTCTTTTTGAAAGATAAGTGGGCACTTTTTTCACTGTTAGAAAGTCATAAAAAACAAAGTAGACGAAGAAGTCTTCTAAAGTGCACATGTACGAGAAAAAAATTCCATATTTGAGAGCTGATAAGAAGCTAATTTTATATAGTCTGAAAATAAACATTATTGGTAGATTGAAATTAAAATGTAAATAAGTGGATAACCACGATGCAAATCAAAACTATTTAATACTCTTTAAGTCTCTCGTAATTTCAAAATGATGAAAATGTTTGATGGAAGCAAAGATTCGATAGAGCTTATTAAATGCCGAAAAGCAGTAGCTGTGTAATAATAATTTATTGTCAGTAAAACTGGAATATAATTTTATTTTGAGGGATATCTTTGGTCTACTGATCGAAACGTACCTACAGTAGTTTTGGTGGCACATTATGATAGTCATGCTGTTGTTCCAGCGCTGGCTATTGGTGCTGATTCAAATGGAAGTGGTGTAGCAGCGTTACTTGAGTTGCTCTCTATCTTTTCGCGCTTTTATTCTTCTGTAAGTTTAATTAAGATTTCAAAGTTTTAGGGAATTACAATTTTTTATATTGTTCCCTTTATATTATTGAGTTTGTTTTCATTTTCTGGTGCTTAACGGATGACGTTGATTGCTTGCGATCAACCCGTATCGCCGAAGTCGTGTTGTAGTTTGGTAACACGATTCGGTTTTCGGGTAGATCGCTTGCGCTTTTTATTCAGCCGTGCACAGGCCTCCTTTTGTTACTGTTTTAAAACGAATTATTTTTCTAAAAATATGCGACTTTTTGGACTTCTTTTCAATATGTTGCTTGCTCGATTTTTGGACAATACGACCACTTTTCTATGGGCCAGGAATTTCGTCGCATTTAGGGTCTCGATGTAACTTGTGCAAGGCTCCGTCAATTCTGTCTTCCAGAATACGATGAAACCCAAATATAATATGATCTTTTTGCTCACTGGTGGTGGAAAATTCAACTATCAAGGTAGTCGGCATTGGCTCGAGGAACATATTGAAAAAAACAATGGTAATCGTTTGTTTCTTTGTGATCTGTTGTATTTCGATGAGTTTGAAGGATAGTAAAAGAATTAAAAATATTGGACTGACAATTGCTGGAATTGTATAATACCATTTACAGAAATGATTATTGAGCTTGTTATTTGTCTTGATTCTGTGGGTAAAAGAAACGGCATTATGGCTCATGTTTCGAAGATACCTATTGAGACATCTCCAGTTGGTCGCTTTTTTTCACTTCTTAAAGGCACAGTGCCTCCTAATCGAACAGTAGAAATGGTCTCAAAGAAAATCAATTTAAATGCTGATATGCTTGCGTGGGAGCATGAAAAGTAGTGCATTTGATTTATTCATTATAATAATTTTTTCTTCCAAGTTCATTTACCTTATCATTTAACTTAAAGGTTTATAAGGCCTAAACATTGAATATTGAGGTTTTCAATGCGACGTTTATCCGCTCTCACGTTGTCACATTATAAATCACACACTGAACCTGGTCGGGTTTCATTATTGGATACTCTAGCTGGAGTCGAAATAGATGTTCTTGAGGTATATATTTCGAATTTTATTAAGGCTTAACTGGCTACAGGCGTGCGTGTCGTTACGTAATCCAGTTGTGAATAGAAGCGTTAAGTTAGTTCTCTAAACTGATTTCTCTGTCTACATTTCATGACCATGAGAACGACTTCAGGCGAATGTACGAGCAATCGGCGAAGCACTGCTAGCATATGTATTGAATTTGCCAAATACAAATTGCTTGCGAGAAGAAAATATTTTTACCTGTTCAATTATGTCATCGAAAGATGTTAACAAACAACGTTTGTCTTACTGGTTGAGACAATTTGGTAGCAAACCTCGGCCCTCAGCTGGAAACAATGATGCAATTGTAGCTAATCTTAGAGATACTGTATCACGGTGAATCATTACGTGATTTAATCTCTAATTAACTCCTTTCTGGTTAAATGAAATCTAATTTTAGAGCGAAGTTTGATACATGATGCTTAAATGCTGCCTCATTACTGTATTCATCGCTTTTAGATACACTTCTGGTCAAGTAACTGTCGAAAATTTTTCTTTGGTGGACATATCACTCTATGGCGTGCTTGAAGATTATTTAACAGCGCATCGAGCAAAACCAGCTATTTTTGAACTTTTGCTGGCAACTGTTATAGGAACTTATTTATCAGCGTTATATTTTGTAGCACCACTGTTGCAAACCACTGTTGAAGCAACATTAATCAAATTGAAAAAGTTATGACTTTGTTTAGGTTGTTTTGATCTCGTCTTGATTTTACTGTAGTGAAATGTTACACAAAAATTGTTGCTGATGCACTTTTTCATAGACTCTTACTTGATCGATAGCTTCTTTTAAATGTTGCGATTTTTGTAATTTTTTACTTTGCTTTGTGTTGTTTTCCTTCTGCTAGTTCAACTGTGATAAATGGTCGTCTGTTTCTGCTGTTTTCATTTTTTTATAGCACTGAAGTTTTCAGATAGTTTATTTCTGTCATGACTAAGGAGCTAAGTGACTTCAAGGATTTTGAATGTATTTAGTTCGATGTGTTTCTTATGGCGTTGTCACAGTTGCAAATTTTCTGTGCTAGGGTTGAGGTTACGCTCTATTTTAAAATAATTATCGATAGCAATAGGAGTAGATTTGTTGACAGGTGGTATTATCTAAAAGTCCCTAAGCATTGCTCTATAGTTGCTAAGATGAATGTCACTGAGGTAATTACTATGGCTCAGCTTGTTACCAGCAGTTCTTGGCGTTTCCTGCAGTCATTTATTTGGCTATTACGATTCAAAGCTATTTTGTGAGAAGTTACACTGAGTTTGTCGTGGTGATGAAGTTTGAAATTGCTGTAGATTCAATATTTTAAGCATTTAAGTATTCTGGAGAGCTGTATGTGATGAAATATGACTGATGCATAGTACTTGCTATGGATGTATATGGTCATGCGCATTGGATTGAGCATAGATTCGTGCCTGTCGATCCCAGCAACGATATCGAGATTGACGTCGGGAGCGTCAGGATATATAATTTTGTTGGATTAATTGAGTGGCACTTAAGTCCCGTGTTTCATCGCAGAGATCCTATTTAGAAAATGGTTTTCCGTTTTTCTGCGACGATTACTTTCCTGATATATTGTGCACTGAGTGCGAAAATACTTCAAATAACTGATATACATCTTGATGTGGACTACAGCGTTAGAGGTGATTCAAAGGAAATGTGTCATGAGAAAAGTATGAAAATCACTGCAAATTTGGGACGATTTGGGGATTACATGTGTGATTCACCTGATGTTTGTAATTTTCGTATAATTTTTGATCTTAATGAAAAGGTTTTTATATGTTCTGTTTTAAAAGAATTATCAATTTTACTTTAAGATCGGTCTTCGAAGGTTTTTATAAAATTGAAGTCATATTTAATTTTTCTTTAATTAGTATTCCTCAGAAATTTTTTATGAAGGGATCAGTAGTACTACTTATATTATTAAATTGCATTAGTGCTTGGTAAAATTTCTAAAATTTGAAAAATTGACGGAATTTCCAGAATTTGCTTGAACATTTGATGGCAAATGCTTCGAAAATCATAGCAAATCCTGATTTATTGCTTCTTTCTGGTGATTTTGTGCCACATATTGAAGAATATGACTTTAATTGTACGCCTTTTTTCTGGCTGTTTGTATATTTTATAGTATCTAATTTGTTAATCTTTTATTTAGTGAGCATTTATTACTTTAGCATTAAAACTTTTATGATACTTATTTATATTTACTCGCTTAATGTTTTTAAAATTTAGATTTTTTAGCAATTATAGGTAATTTGGGAGAAATTTTCTTAATATGAAGTTTTATCGAAAGTGTTCACATTTAATTATTATTTTTCAGATGTACGTAATGCACTAGAAATAATCACAAATTATACTATGAAATATTATCCAAACACAACGATCATTCCACTGCTGGGCAACCACGATGCAGTACCTCCTAATGCTTTACCTGATCATGATGGTACTATATATGAAATTGCTTACAGTTTATGGAAACAGTGGATTGGAGAAGAAAATGCAGTAATATATTTTTCTAAAACTTTAAAATTTCTTAATATTTTATCAATTTAATTCGTATTACATTGCAAAAATATGAATTTTTAGAGATTTATCTCCAATATTCTTCTGTTTACAGTTCAGTCAGTTTTAATGATATTTTTTAAGTTTTATAATAAATGATCTATATTATTTATATTTTTTGTATTTTGGCTAAAAAAGAAATTATCACTAAAAAGATATGCTAAATATCATTATAGATGTGTAGGTATTTGATTTGTGTTCAGGAAACATTTCTGAAAGGTGGTTATTACAAATATGAATGGAATGATAAAGCTATTATTGCTGTTTTGAATACGAATTTATATTATCGTTTCAACCCGGCCATCAAAAATTTCAAGAATAAAACTGATCCTGCTGGGCAGTTTGCTTTTCTCAATCATATTCTGATGAGTGCTGAAAAAGCTAAAAAAAAGGTCCATATAGTTGCGCATATCGCTCCAGGAGGTATTACTTGAATATTTTCTAGTGATAATTAAAATTTTTCACGTCAGAACGCAATATTTTTTCGACAAATGGCTACTGAATTCACAAGACTAAAGCAGAAATTGTTTTATTAAAAATTTGTGGTTGCAGTCATTTATAAAAATATTTAAACCAAATAATCCTTACTTATGTTAGATTTTATACTGTATTTTATCAATAAAAAATTGGTATTAAATTGTGAATTTGTAATTTTCTTATTACAAAATTATAATTAAAAAATTATAATTTGCGTTTTATAATAATAAAATTTTTCAGTTTTCGAAAAATCACCGTACATTAGTTGGATGGAACCGGAATATAACCAGCATTTAATTGATATCACTATTAAGTTTGCTAATACAATAGGTTGGATGTTATTTGGTCACCATCACTCAGATACTTTTCATATAGTCACGGTTAGCTATAAAATTACGTTCACTAAGCTTACTCTTATAATTATATTTTGACTTTTTTTTCAGAGAATAATTATTGGCTAAAATACTTTCAAAATAATTTAGTCCTTACTTTCAATTACCCGTGTTAAAAGATTCCTTTTTATATGTATCTGATAAAAGTATTAAAATGTAACAAGTTGACTTTTTGAAAAATTAAGAATGTGCCTAAAATTGTCAGTTTTTCAATCTGTGGAATTAGAACAGTAAAAATACTTTCCATACAATTGCAGGATTTTGAAGGAAAGCCAGTTCAAATTTACTTAATGGCACCGTCTGTCACACCTTGGTTCAGCAGTTTACCTGGAGCAGGTTCTATAAATCCATCATTCCGTGTTTACATCATGGATGATGGCACTCAGCAACTTATTGATGCAGTGTAAAATTAAAATCATTATCACAAAAAATTCAATGATATATTAATAAGCAGACCATATAGCACTTTTTAGAAATCCACTTGCAAATTCTTAAAAATGTTATGTTGACAAGTTGTAGGAAGTGCTTGATATTAATTTGGATTTTGGAATTTTGGTGAAATCTGTTTGTTATATTCATCAGATTTATTGGTTAAATAAGTCTGATGTGTAACTCTAATTATTTCAAAGCATTGATTAGTATTATGGGATGGGCTGCGAAATATTAATATAATGAGTTGAAGAAGGTGTTTAGTTATCACTTTTTGCTTAATGATTTAAAAATTTTGCTTACGATCAGTTAATCGTAAAACATATCAAAGCACTAATCTAACAGTAATTTTTTTATATGAAAAACCTTCATTCAAAATTAGTATCATGAATAGTGCAAATCTTAAAACTTTCCTAATTTATCGTTATTTCGTTGTTTCTTATTCTTTATGTACAAGAGAAAAAAAACGATTACTTAGTGCAGTACCTACTGGATAGATTTAACAAAACTGAATCAAAACGAGTCAACTTCATTCGTCGTGGAATATTCAATGCAAACAGCGTATGGCATTGGTTTGTTATTTTTAATATGTATTTAAAATACATCTGTCCCACTTCAGTTTGAAGATATGTCGTGATAGTCCGTGAAATGATGGCTGTGACTAAAGTCAATCTTTTAAAGAACTCCTTGGATTAAAAAACAACTTTTATGCTACATGTATTTTCAAATAAACAATATTTTTAGCTCTTATTAAATTTGTATCTCAAAGGCAAAAAAATTTCTAAATTACATGTCATTACCAATATTATGATTAGTATGTAATTGATATTAATTTGTCGCATCACTGAATTCAACTGCAATGAATTCAATATTGGAAAGATTGAAAATTGATGACGAGGACGTATGGCAAAAATATATTACATATAATTCTGTTCATTGGAACGTTAGTATGGTTCAAGATTTGTACAAGTCAGTATTAATAATTTGTGTATTGCTCTAAATTATGTCGATATATTGAAATTATACCATTGGTTCATTTTAATTTTTATGGTTTAAATAAGATTGATTTTTAATCAGACAAAGTTTTCTCTCAAGAAATAGATAAATTCTATTTTAAAAGGTATAATTTTTCCATTAATTTCTGGAATTTATAGAGCTGCACATATTTGTTCTATTTCGTATCCGAATTATGCATCGTATAATATTTGCATGGAGACGAAAAATTTATCAACGACAGGTTAGATTATCTTACTACTAAATCTTTAATTCTAACTTTCTGGATTCATTCATACATTTGTTTCTAATTTGTGTTTAAAACTTTATATTATATTGAATGTTGAAATGGTTGCACTAAACACTTTTATGAATTAACATGTTGTACCACTTCATTTTCGGAACGGCTGCCAGTTTTGCAAATGATACACTGATAAAATGAATGATCAGAATGAGTTAATATAAATTAAAAACAGATGTGTTTTAAATGTGTAAAAAAGTAATATCAACAAGTAGGTATGATACTGGAATGATTTCTTCGATAATGTATTTGATCTATGATCTTGATTTCACTGAATTATTTGTTTATTTTTTAATTTCTTTGTTATGTGTATTCTGTTTGATAGATTTTTTAGCAGAAATCAAATCAACACTATCAACGAAAATGCCAAAAAAGGCTAGCAGTGAGAAATCATTTTCGATATCATTGACTGTTTTATACATTTGTTTCCACGCTTCTTTTGCATAGGTTCCTTGCTGAGAATCGCAGCCAGAAGTAGCAGAATTGACAAAGTTGATGATGGGTAATCAGTAAGTAATTTGGTAAAGTTTCATAATGCATTAAATTTAAACTTTTTTTGTAATTTGTGACTTTGAATTAATCAAATTTGTTGACCGACCTATTACCATTTGACACAATATTCTACTTTTATTGTATTTTACATATAAATTTGCTTACCTTCCACTCTCACTAAGCAGATGATTGTTGTTTTATTTC